ATACCAGTTATACTGCAGATTGTACTTTGGAAAGGTATTAACATTTTAAAAATTCCCGCTTTCGAGTAAATCACGAAAATCGAAAAAAGAAAAAAAAATTTGCAGTTTAATTTCCATCAGGATTTAACAATGCTTAACAACTAGTGTACTTAATACCGTTTGTTATAAATACTATTTATAATCAATAGCATAATACCCAAGTACCTACCAACCATTGAACCATATTTTACTAAGTCCACGGATTCTCTAATATAATAATAATTTGTTTCAGCAGTTATTACTATTTGTTATTTACAATCAACTATTGCTTATTAATTATTTTAATTAATTTTCACTGAATTTCAGATATGGCGGTATCGGCATGGGTGATTAATTAATGAAGTTATTATAGGTAACTATTGTATCTGCAGACTGCAGTACCAATATATATAGGAACTTACTTTAAATTTCTGGAATCACATACATCGGGTTGGTGCTTATTCAGTACGATAAAAAAAAAATTGCATTTATATTTTAAATCAATAATCATGTATGATGTATATAGGTGCAATTAGAGAGGTTTGGGCAGGATAAGCCCCTAGTTTTATCCGTAACCCCTCTCAAAGTTTTTTTTTATTTTATTTTAGTTTAAAATATAAACATTTATCAATATATACGATTAAAAAATATGAATACTGATTACAGGGTCATGTAATTATTATAAGTGTATGACAAAACATTTCCAGAACTCTGTATTACATATAATAGTATATTAGTGTATACAATATACAATATACATATAAAATAATGTTAAAATATTTTATGTAATATTTTTTTTTTTATTTATTTGAAGAAATCTACAATCTATACATGCTTTTTGTACAATAAGTAGGTTTGATATATGAAAGGTAAAATATGATATGAGTAGTTAGATTAGGGAAGATACCCAGTGGTAACACCCTATGATGTAATATAAGTATAGCTATTATTACACCACACCAATGTATAAAACACAATCTTATAAATATGTAAAAAAAAATTACTATAGTATTTGAATTTTTGGGGTGGTAATTTTGAGTCTGGGATCGCAAAAGACCGTCTAGTCGTGCATAACTATCCTCGACACTCAAGAAAATAAATTATTATACATAAACGTTAACTAATTAATTTTCTATTACGAAACTCAGCTGAATCGATCATAAAATATGAAAAATAAAGTGCTGTCATGGGATACCCATGAAGTTTCTTTTCCAACAAATATTATAGATTACAAATACATTTTAGTGGAACCATTCAAAATAAAAATAAATAAAATGAAAATTATTATTATTACTATTTAATTACTATTACCTATATCGGCTATATCAATCATATTAAATAATCGAAATTACAGGCCTGTGATAACTGAATTATGATACGTATGTTTGTGATGTAATTTTTTCCAAATATCTTGAAAATACTGCATCCATGGTGGTGTCATCTCTCGTTGTAGTCTTGTAGATTCTGCTGGATTGTTTATCATTAAAATTCCAAATTGTTATAATTTATAAATTATAATAATTGTAAATGCATAATATGCAGATCTTATTATACGCTGTTTCAAATCCTATCTCGTTATACCAGTTTCCTATTACCTAGTCTATACCAAACGCAACACACAAAAAAATGCAATCACGGCAAAACACTATGTACCTAAGTATGTATGCAACAAACAGATTATTCTACGAAAACAATTTCATGAAATAAAAATGTTTAAGCGTCATGCAAGGAGATTATAATATGACGTATATAAGATGTAACCAAAAGTTTATGCCTTGTAAGGACCATGGTATGGATTGCAGTGTCTGGTTGTGCATGGAATACGCGTGATATACGCGCACAGCACTTTTGAGGATTTCCACTTTTTTCCCCGGCACTTTGGGGATTCCCACTCCCACTTTACGGCCCGCTGGACGGAAAAAGGTCGCTTTCCAGCGCTTCAACCGCGGTCGAAAACCAAACTTAGGGTTTACGAAATAGTATATTGTGTGGCAAAAAGTGCCGGGCGCACATATCGTTATAGGCGTGACAAAAAATAGTATGTGTGGCTCGCGCGGGAAGGCCATTTCAGTCGCGGGCGGCGTGTGCGGCTTATTACATATACATTTCATTAAGAGGACGCTACACCCGCATGTGTTGTCTCCGTCTTACACACGTACGTCATAGACAAAACGCGTTTAGGCAGTCTGAGTATAACTTGCTCAATTTTGGTTCTAGAGTAAAAATGCCTATTATGAAATTGAATTGTGATAATATTTCTAAGGGCAAGACGCTGCGGTTTTTCCATTATACCCAATATAACGTTCATTATATCGTTTAGAAATAGAAAAAATTTCACCATTTTTAAAATACCTTTGACTTTTAAAAAATTAAATTTTTTAAAAAAACCGCAGCGTCTTGCCCTTAGAAATATTATCACAATTCAATTTCATAATAGGTATTTTTACTCTAGAACCAAAATTGAGCGAGTTATACTCAGACTGCCTAAACGCGTTTTGTCTATGTCGTACGTGTGTAAGACGGAGACAACACATGCGGGTGTAGCGTCCTCTTAATTCAAATAAACATGCATTATATACGTAGTGTAGCGAATAACGATGTATTATCAGTGGTTGAATTGGGGGGGACGCGGGGGGACGGAGTCCAACTTCTATTTTTAAAATATTTTAGCGTACCCCTTCTAATTTCAAGAATTGATAAGACATTTAAATGTTGGGGGGACGCACAAATGTTTTATACTTTTGCATACCCCTTCTATTTTTTTTCCAATTCAAGCACTGTGTATTATCAATAATTATATCATCAATATACGCAAGATATTTATAATCAATGTTCAATCTATTGAGAAGGAACCGTCTCTACAACTTACCACTCCCGATTTTTTTTTTTTGTTTCATCCTAAAAATCGATTTAATAATGCGATAATATTTCTGAAAACTGATCTGAGTTCGTTAGAATTTCTATTAGGGATCGGGCAGTTTACATTTTAAGATTTCTGCTTTAAATTCCGAATAAATCCAGAATAACCAACGTTTGAAATTTGCGAAATTTCAAAATATTCAATCTACATTTTTAGAGATGTGTGTGGTGGGAGGGGGTGAAGTTGAGGAAAGTGAACTGACCAATCTCAAGTAGACATAATAACGAATTCAAATCTGTTTTAAAATGTATTATCGCATTTCTAGATCGATCAGTATGATAGATTGAAAATTGGATGATTTGACTAAAATAACTGTTTAATATATTATAAAAAATAGTAGGTATTACTTCAGGAACGTTTTTTCCCGACTAGCCCTGCATCGTGCCATAAAAAATCTCGTTTCAAAATTCCAATATTATTGTTATTAAATTAATATTTTTCGATTTCCATTGGTCTTTACTAAGTACCCTCAAGGTATTCATATTATAGGTATTATTATTTCACATTTTCACCATCATTAAGTATTAACTCGTTAAAATACGTAAAAAAAATCAAATTTTCGAGAGGTAGTAAAGTATAGTATTGTGCGCATATTGTGTATAAACGTATAATTGCAAACTTTGGATTTAGTTTGGAAGGATATAACTTCCACAATAGTAATTTTCGCAAATTTTTTTTTTTTGCACTTTAGTTCTCAACTCGTTGAAATACGAATGTTTCAAAAAAAAAATTTCAACAAAAATGCTGAGTACCTAGCTAAAATGAATTTGTTTCCAAACTTTGAAAAGTAGAAACAAAAAATATACTATTTATAAAAAAAAAAACCATGTTACAAATAAAAATAACAGATTTTTTTAAAATGTAGCCATGTAACTATAATGAAGTGCAGTGTGTACGGTGTACCTACTAACTATACTTTACTTTTTTAATAATAGGTTATATTGAATATAATTTTTAATAGGTTTGGAATATCGTGCATAGTTAGAATGACCATTGTGCAGTATGCAGTATTGTGATTCAAGTATAATATAAATTTAAAATTATATAACGTATACTGTTTTATAATAATTGGTGGTGTTATTGTCATGACTTATCACCCATCGGCTATTATGACCTATTTTTCCTGGTCCCTCGAACGTCGTCGTAAACGAATAAACGATATACCTACTGACCTACTGCACATTATTATTATTATCATCATTGACATCGCGTTAAATTGTGCAGCGCACCGGCAGATGTCGCGGCACGCCCGCCGATATCGTGCAAGCCGCCGGACTGCCGGAGAGAAACAGGTCTGACAATCGATTCGCGAAGGCCTCTCGCGCCGACCGACGAAATTTTTTGTTTTCCACGTCCTCCTGGAAATCTACTTATCAGCGGCGGCAGTTTGGCAACGTATAGCACTATTTTTTACATTTTACAGTCGGTTCTCGGGTGTTGCTCCCTTCCTTGCTGTAGTAATTAATAATATTAGCGCATAGTCGGCGGCGTTAATAATATTTCGTCCAGCTAGCCGCCCCCGCATCGGCCCGTCGAGAGACGAGAATATTGCTAGAAAATCTTTATCGGCGTATTTATTATTGCATACGTTTTGCCAAGATTTGACGCAAAAGACCCAAAACGCAGCTCGCGGTAGGCATACACCGGCCCCGGAAATTGGGCAAAATCCTTCAGTAATATATTATTATTATTATTATTGTATCGTGATGAATTTTAAGTTTTCAGTTGTCGTCTAGCAAAATCTCAAATCTGACGCCGCGGCGGCCGACGGTCGACACTGAAGAACGTTTCTCCGACGACGGACCAGAGGGACGACGGCACGACGCACGCGCGCACCGCTCCGCACCGCACCGCAACGCACCGTACCACACCACAACGCACGCACGCACGCACGGCGACACGGTAGCGCACGGAGTACGGACACACACGAGTACAACACGACACACCACACCACAGTCCACACCACACACAGCCCGAGTGCTCGACAGCCGTCTGTCCGCCGCAGTCGGTGAATTCGCTCGCAAACGTCTGATCGTGCCGACCCCGTGCCGCCGGACGAAAGATGCTCATCAAAGAGTTGTGAGTATTGAAAACTTTTCGTCACTGTGTTAATCTTAAACTGGCCGAAATGGTAGTGAACACGCAAGCGGTTTTGGATCGACGGTCGATCGTTTTTCCGAAATCGTCATCGTCATTTTGGCGTGATTGTCGCGTCACACACGCGCACGGTTTCTTCCGGTTCACGGTTAACCGGTCGCGAACCCGTGTCGTAGACGTCCGACGGCGACGAGCCCTCATATTATAATCGTTTTTATGATGGAATTGCCCCGTTTGCTTGATGGGTTTATGTGATTTTTGTCTCGTCTGACGACGACCCTTAACGAATGGGGCGTTTGGACGCTTGTCCCAGACACCACCGCCTTCCACACCACCACTTCTTAGTCACGCCACTATTGCTCCGTTTGTGCTGGGTAGAGATTGGTAGATAAAAAAAATTTCCATCGACCGTTATCACGATTTATCGTATTTTTTAATTGCAAATTGAGCGATAAGCACCACCCATTCGTAAAATTACCCAGATAAGTTCTAAACGTTAAAATACTTGATTTCACGGTTTCAAATATTATGGCCCGTAGTATATGGGTTCACTTTAATATGCCATAATCAATTTTCAAAATTAATATTATGTACCCACACTCCGCAGCGTCATTATGTAGACTTTAAGGGCCGTTCTTACAATGTCCGGTTAAGTGTCGGTTAACTTTAACCGGATATTGTAAGAACGGCCCAAGTTTGGTTAAATTATTTTCTGTACCTAAAAATCATGACAAATAACATTTTTAAGCCGTTCATTATTTTTTAAAAGTAATTTTGATATTTTAAAACATCATCCACATACATTGTGTACCTACGTGCAAAAAGATAATACATGTCATCTCATATTTTTAAATTGTCTTGTTAATAAAGTACAGTGTCAACTGTCAACCCATATTCAATACATTTTGATTAATCAAAATGACCGCACTATAAATTACTTTTAATTATTTTTATTCAATATAGGTATGTAGGAAATGTCTAAAAATGAGTAATAGGTAGTCTAAGCTCAATATTTTGTATTTTATCTATCTACAAATTATCACAAACAAATAGGTAGTTTTGTTTCAATCACTCAGTTAATCGTTGATTTATTATTAACCATTGTGGCATTGTATGATCCATGATAAATTGATTATTCATAAAATCTTTTTGTGAAAATCGTGACTAGACAATATTGCATGGTTTTTTATTGTTATTTGAATCATTTAATTTATCTTTTGTAATTTTATTCGAATTAATTAGGTAATGTAAATTATTTTCCAATTTCAATACTGCATCTATTTCCAAATTAAAAATGATAAAAAAAAAAAAATTTTATGTCTTCTGTATAAAATCCATATTGAATCAACTTTAGTTCATTTTTATACTACCTAATTACACCGATACAAAATTGTATTCCAAGCACCTATTTAATGACACAATAAGTATTAGGAAGGTTTTTGACTTATTATACTTATACATATTACTAATGAAAATAAACGTTATTTGTTACAGCCGTGTAGTGCTACCCCTAACAGTTGAAGAGGTTTGTACCCATAATTCTTTTTCAAACATTTATTTTACTAAAGCAAATTATTAGTAGTTATCATACCATACACATATTATAGTTATACATATTATTCCCCTTTTATAGAGTCTCATTTAATGTTTTGTTTTTGTCTTTAGTATCAAATTGCTCAGCTGTACTCTGTAGCCGAAGCCAGTAAAAACGAAACTGGCGGTGGAGAAGGTATTGAAGTATTGAAAAATGAACCATTTACCAATTATCCCCTTTTGGGTGGAAAATATTCAGAAGGGCAGTATACTTATAAAATTTATCACTTGGCCAGGTAATTATTACATTAACTATTATATTAATTATTATAATTTATATGCAAGGTGGTGGACTGATGAATGACAATATTTTCTTGATATCAACGTACATAGTATAGGTACTAATGTTCGTAAAATTAGATGGTCCTCCCTGTATATAATATAATTTATGTAAGACATATTTATTTTATATATTCACATACCTATAATATTTACAAAAAAAAACCTGTATAAATAGTTCAGGATTTTACAGATTACCTTGCTTATAAATATATATATAATGTATGCCCAAGCTAGTTTTTGAATTCTTTCAAAAATTAAACAAGTAGTTATATTGTACTGATGGTTTATTAGCTCAACGTATTATTAAGCTTTTGTTTAACATTGGATGTAATATGACATTGGATGACATGTTTTTGAAGGCCATTAAACAAGTATCGAGTAAAAATGTATTAAAATATTTCACGTTATTCCAGCCTTGGTGTACACAATGTTTCAACTTCATTTTAAAACTGTTTGAATTAATAAATAAAACCAATAAAATATATTTCAATAAATAACAAGTAAATATTATCTACCATATTTATTTAGTCTGTATTACATAATAATTGATTTACCTAATATGAAATGTAATAACAATTGTTATTAAGCAAAACAAGTACTGCAACACTGTCAGTCTTTAAAAAGGTATAACTTTTCAACCATAGTGAAATTAAATTTTTTAAAAGCCGGACAGGATTCATTGACAGAATTTTGAACACTCTTGCCTGTTTATATCAAATGTAAAGGCAACAATGGATCTTATCACTCCAAAAACAATTCTTAATGCTGTTAAAACCTAGTTTACTGATATTTCATCAAAGATGCTACTAAAAAAGTATTGTACCTTGACCTATATTATCCAACTATCTTATTTTATATGAAAAGCCTACAGTTTATGTATGAAACTTTTTTTGTGATTTAATTTGTTTCCATCATTAGTATATTTATGATAGCTAATTTTTAATTTAAACTAATATTATAAATTTACATTCAATCAATTTCACAAAGTATCCTTTTTTAGATTAAATTCTTTACTTTTATAATATGAATAATATTATAAATTTAAAGAATTGAATCTGAAAAAGCGATTTGTGCTAAAACAATGAAATATTATGTTATTTACATTGATCAGCATAAATATTAAATACCTTCCCCCCCCCCGATTTTGAGCTGCTGCATGAAGGCGAACTGCGTATGCATTATTTCTCCTCATTAGTAGCGAGGCTGAGGGAGGGCCATGGATGGATGCCTCCTTTGGCCTTTTTTTATTGGTTATGTTTTAATCACAGTTATAGCTAATATACCTAATAAAATATAGTATTTAAATATCCCCCCCCCCTTGATGAATCTACTGCTCCTCATAAATAATACCTTGTAGGTTTAAACAAACTACAGATAAGTAAATAAATATAATTGGTCTGTTATCACAAGATAATAATATTGAACATAAACAATCTTTTTTCAAATACAAAACATTCACAACTTATCTCCATCAGCAAATGAGAACAAATTGAATATCATTTATTATGCTAAATCAATGGGTTGATAACTGACAATTTGAAATTTTTTTTTGTAGGTATATTTATTAGATTAAAAATATAGTTAGTTAAATGGTTTTTATTTATAAGAGATTTGCTCAAAGGAAAAATATATTAGTAAATCTGTATCAAAAAAGTTTGGCCAACCCTGTTATTTATCAATTGTCCGTGTGGTGAGTGTAACATTATGGTAAAAGTATTACACTAATACTATAATTATTTATGAACACTTACCACAGTAAATTGTTTTACATTTTTAGAGATTATTTTTTATGTTATTTAAATGCAGACTTCAAAACATTTCTGTTTCACTATAACTTATTCATGTTCTTGATATACAATTAATTAATAATAACATTTCATAATAATTAAATATTTAATTATTGATAATTATGAAGAGTTTGTAATTTGGTGCATTATTATCATGTCATGAAATTATATTAATTTACTTGGTTGTGAAATTTTGGGACTTACCATCAATTAATAACATACCCAACAGGTTTTGAAGAAGGTCATTTTCCACGAATATATTATTGATGACTATCATAAAAAACTTTCTTCCTGGTTCCTAAATACCATTTTGAGTTTTAATATCTAACAATTAATAATAATATTTATTCTGCAACTAAATAATCATAAAATATAAGTCTTTACACCTAACTTATAAAATATAATTAAATATTTAATAAATGTTATGACATATAACACCAATATCCATCTAAATAAATTGTGTGTTGGGTATATTTATAACTTCTAAGTTCAGTAACTTAAAATTTGTTTTTATGAGATAGTCGATTTTTAGGCCAGATAACTAAAATTAATAATTAATATGCATTTTCAAATATTAAACAAAAATTATAGTATCTATAGTTAGTTAATCATAATATTGTAAATGCATAAATCTATAAATATTTTTAGGTTAAATTATAGATATAAAAAAATAACCTGAACCTAAACATATTATATTTTTGAATTTAACTAAAAATAATAATACATTTTTTTTATTTAATTTTATGGGTATCTACTGATTTTTTAAATTATAAAAATTAAATGAAGTTAAGATTTACAATAAATAATAAGTCTAAAGGTATATTAAAAACAAAATAACATATTTTGCTCAATAATTTTGAAGTAGAATAATTAGTTGTACATGGTTTTAAAATTTGTAAAAATAAGTATATATCTATACTGAGTGCGCCGAGAGAGCGCAGGTCTCCGCGGGTTAGAGGTCTAATTTCTCCCACCAAGTCGACTGGTCACACGCCGTACGATGCGCGGACTACGACGGGTTTTGGTTGCCGCCGACTTGCGCTCTCTCAGCGCACTCAGTATAGACTATTTATGGATTACCTACCAATTATATTTTAAATTTAAAATAAGTAAAATTAATAACAAGATATTTCCAATTTTACTCAATATTTTACTATGTTTCAGCAAAGTACCTGGAATGATAAAACTTTTGGCACCTAAAGGAGCTTTAGAAGTTCACGAAGAAGCATGGAATGCTTACCCTTACTGCCGAACCGTGATTACAGTAAGTAATTTTTAAAACTGTAACTTACATGCATAATATCTTAATTATTTTATCAGTTAATGTATGAAATTATATAATATATATTGGATAGTTAAAATCTTTTAATTAATTTACACTGATGTCTTTTTTTCCAAAAAATAAATTATGAAATTCTGTCATTACTTTGCTGAAGCATTTATTCAGTAGGTACTATTAATACGTTTTTTTAAAACACGTGTTATTAACAAGAAATAATTTGTAATGCTATTTCTTTGTAACATAACATGACGTGTTTATTCAAGAGTTCTCAAGAGTTAGACAATTATAAATAATAATATTTTATATCAACTAATTTGATTTATTTAGTGTAGGTCTATATATATTATCATAATAGATATTTAAATTTCTATACTACAAATTATTATATTGATTATAGTGAACTGTAAAATATTATTCATTAGGTCTAAATTAGTTGTTATCTGGACTCCATATTGAAAATGGTCATATAGAATTGTTGCTTTTTGTTATTAAAATTTTCAAATTATTGTTTTTCTTTTGCTTACACAATAACTTATAATAATTAAAGTTCATCGTACATTTTTTTTATGTATTTATGGGATCATTTTGATATTTCCATTCAATTATCTATTTCTGCAGCAATGTGTAATTTAAAAGTCTAATATTATTTTTGTAGAACCCCAACTATATGAAAGAAAAATTTATGATAACTATAGAATCATTTCACTATGCTGATCGAGGAACCCAAAATAATGTAAGTCAAAGAAACGAGGTTTTTGAGATTATAGCTATTATGCTCGCTATAATATATTATGCAAAGGGATTTTTGTTTTACGTATCAACTACTGGGTGCTGATGTCATTTCTTCTGCTTGGAAATATTACAATTGACCAAAATAATCTATTACCTACATAATTTTCCAATGTTTGATAATAATCTAATTAATATAATATATAATATAATACATATAATACATACAATTAATAACATGTGCCTTAATATATATTTTTAAATAAAATGTATTATAATTGCTTTTGTTTGGTGGTTTTGCTTGTACGTACAGAATCCAAATTATATGAAAGAAAATTTCAGTATAGTCATTGAGTCGTATCATATTGCTGATAGAGGTACACAAGAAAACGTAAGTGATGTGGTCCTTAAAATGTATTGACGCATAATACAAAGTATTGTTATATTTATGACCTCAGAAATCTACACTGTTGTAAAATGCTTATAAACACTGTTTTATTATTTTAATTTGAAATTGGATCTTGTATTGTCATTCAGCAATTATTATTTATCTTCTCACTAATGATTATCATTTATTTATTGTCCTGTATAACATATAATTTATTGTTATTTTATGTACATGATTCATGTTTTAAATTGTTTTATTATGCTTAATTTAACAAAATGTGACTAAAGTCTCAATTTTAAAACACTAATACTGTATGTAAAGTACACAAACAATATATTATTAGTAATTTATTGTTTTACTATAGCACATTTTACTTTTACATTTTTAATAAACCTTGAAACTAAATACCTTATCACTAATCCAAATATATAATATGAAAAATTTTCAAATTATAAATTACTTGAGTATTAAGTTATTCGATGTTATCTAATCATAAGGCGTATTAGATTATATTAATACATTAACAATCTTACTTCTGTTTTTTTATAATAATTTATTTTTGAGACTTATTATTAATTACTAATTTGCATGACGTGACATTCTTAATCTAACATTATATTAGTGCATACGCTATGGGTATATTATTCAGCTTATTAAATAATTTGTTGCATTTCTCATTTCTCATTTTAATTATTATTTCTAACATTTATTTATTATTAAAACAGGTTCATGAATTATCTCCTGAAAAACTAAAACAGAGAGAGGTACAAATCATTGATATTGGTAATGATTGTATTTCATCTTCAGATTATAAAGAAGATGAAGATCCTAAAAAATTTAAAAGTCAAAAATGTGGACGAGGTCCTCTCCAAGGAAATTGGATTGAAACAGTATGATTATTTATCATTATTGTAACACATTATGAGCATTTTTGTTATAACCAAACTTGAATACTATGTACTCTACTCAACTACTGTTGTCTACTGTTTTAGGCAAGCCCAGTTATGACTTGCTATAAATTGGTATCTGCAGACTTCAAATGGTTTGGACTGCAGAACCGAGTAGAAAACTTAATTCAAAAATCAGAACGTCGTCTGTTCACAAACTTCCATAGGTATGTTGTCTATAATAAGTTAATTCATAATTTACAAATATTATAATGTTTACTATTAATGTGCGTCTTAATGTAATTATAACTAATGGTTTGAATGAACTTTAAACAATTTTACAGACAAGTATTTTGTTGGATGGATCGCTGGCATGGGCTAACGCTGCAAGATATTCGTGAAATTGAAGAAAAAACTCGAGAAGTATTAGACAGGGTACGTTGACTTACAAGTAAATAGTTGACAACATTAATAATTTATCATTTTAATTGCAGCAACGCAATGAAGGAACTGTTAGGGGAATGAAAGCAGATGCCGATTAAAACATTTTTGAAACCTTAATATACCAATCCAAATGCCTGAAATCGTCTTGAGAATGAACATTAAGCCATATTTATTCTAACACCAACCAAATTGAATAAAAACAAAATAATACCGATCTAGTAATTTTTATCACTTAGTCTAATTTTAACTAAAATTTTACAAATTATATCATACATTTTACTCTAAAAAGACATTCTTACTATAAATATATTCAAAAATTGTCACAATATAGGGAAATTAGCTCGTTTTAAAAATACTGCAGTTTATAGGTACTTACCAATATTTGTTTTTAAAATTGATTATTACTTTTTCATTATTTATTGATTTATAGAAAGCAAAATCATTCCACTTTCTATTTATTTTGTTATCCGTTCTTCCTCTTATGTTTTTACTTAATAATTGGTATATGGATTCACATTTTTTGTGAATATTCATGGTGATTGTATACAAGTAATCATAGTCAAAATCGGTTTTTTAGTTATCAAAATTATTATTAATTATCTTAACAAATGTACATTTGTTAAACAAAATAAAAAAAAAAAATGTTGCAAAATTCGGAGATTTAAACTTTAATTAGGTTTTAATTTTATGGTTACCATGTTTAAAAATATATTTAAGCAATACACGTACCCGTGTACAAACAATATTATAATACCCATTTCGATTTTAAAAATTTTCAATATTAATAGTTAATTCACTAAAATGTTTAGAAAAGTTTACAATTTAAAATTTGACAATAATAGCATTACATAAATGCGTTAATTATTTCAAAATGTATTAAATAATAATTGTTGAAAATTAGACTAGTGAATTTCCATGTCATTGAAGTACAAATTGCAGTGATGTAGAATGTATACTGATTTTGTCAATAGTGCAAACTGGATTTGTACGTATTTTACTGTTCATTGGCAATAGTATAATATTATTACAAATAGTCTTTTCCCCAATTGGAAATTAACTTAAGTAAACTAGTGTAAAATAAAAATCGTTAAAATTTTTTATCTGAGAATACTCGTAATACATTATTTTGACACGTTATTTATTTCACCAAGTATTACCAAAATGTATTACAAGTAAATTTCAGTTGTATATTGTATAATTATTCATAATAGTTTCTCTATATTGTAATATTACCATTTAAGTTGCATTTATATGTCTTTGTATTCACAATTTTGATAGACGTGAAGTTTGCATATAATATATTTGTTTTTCTTGCAAAGTAATCGTATCTCATAAATTATAAATGTAAATAGCCATTAATGAAATGTGAGTTGCTTATGAGTTATGACACATTTTATTGATAATAAATTTGGAAACAAAAAATTATTCTATGACTATTTTCTATAGAACTAGTTCATTCGATATATTATTATTAAATACTGTTGTTGATCATTTTAAAGTCTAAATTTGTTCAAATTTCTATTTGAAATCTGTGAAAATGTAAAATATATATATCTTGAATAATTATATGAATATTAAACATACAAAATATATTATATTAAATCGAAAGTTTTCAATCTAAATACATATACACACCAGACACATTAATAATTTATACATTGATAATCTTATTATTACATTATAATAATATGTTGTTAAAGTGTTCTACATTTCTTTATAATAAATAGATAATACGTTATGTATACATTGTAGTAGCTTATATTTTGAAAACTTTAAATTAAAAGTTTAATTGTCAGACAAACTATTATATAATAATAATAATAATATATCGTCGTTGACACAAAAAAACCTCTGATGTGCTAAATTCCAATTTTTGAGGACACATAAAAAAACCATTAAAAAAGAATGTCTGACCTACAGAAACAAATTTTAAAGTTAGGTATATAAATCTTATGTTGAAAACAATTTTGAGTAAAAATTCAATATTTGTGGAAATATTGTATAAATTGTCAATGTTTTGCCACTTTTGGATATTTTATTAATTCATGTTTTTTTTTAAACTTTACATAGGAGGTTTTTAGAATAATAATTTATGTCATTATAAATGTTAAATCATGTAGAAGGTATTTCATATATTTCATAAGGTATGCACATAATAGGCAGTTTTTTTAATAGGCATTCGGAGACCAAACTTCAAAATCATGAATTTGGCACATTGAAGGTTTTTTTGTGTGAAAATTGATATTGTATATTTATGCAGTATATTTCATTGATTCAGTTCTTTGATTACTAATGAACAGCGTAATATACATATAAGAGATAATTTTTAAAAACAATTTAAATTGTTAACAACTAATAACAATTATAAGTTTGTATTAATTGCATATAACAATGTTATTATTATTTACCTAATATTTTGATCAAAAAAGAATGAACTATAATTATTATAATATTATATGTTAGGATAATATACTTTACGTTTTATTATAAGTGTGTTCTGCGGTTATATTAGTTAGACATTAATAGATAACACATTACAATGTTTTAGGCAATAAAAATTGGTTATTTAAATATTTAAACTATGCTGTGTTAGTTCAAAGACAAAATTATAATATTATATATATACTTGAATACCTGTGGTTCAAGCACCATGATTCAAAAATTGTTTTGTTGAACTTTGTTTCAGCTTTAAGCCCCCAATTTATGTTTCATGAATCATGATAGTTACAACAAATTCTCAAAGGAAAAAAAATAAAAATAGCAATTTACTTAGCTGTTTATACACAGTATACAAATACATAATGCCTTATTCATAATATTAAAATGCAGTTAATAAATCTTTAAACTTTGAATGGCCATTATACCTTAATTCATGGTATACTTCAAAATAATAAATCACCTTGGACTTAAAAATCAGATTACCATTTTAGTTGAGTATGTATTAAATTTTGATTGTTACAAACTTATAAAAATAATTAGATTAATATTCATCCCAATGTTAATCGTTAATCATGTTGAGCTATTTTTAGACATGAAATTTTCGATTATTATTAGTTTTATTTAAGTTAAGGTAGATGAAACAATGTTAGATGGGTCAAAAAAACTTGAAAAAGTAATAAAAGATTCCTCGTAAGTTTTTGTTCGTGGAAATTTAAAAAACAAAAGTTGATTCTTAAAAATCACGAAAATTTGCAAATTATTTTTACATCTATATTTTGAAAATGTATTAAAGATTCCTCATAAATTTGTTTACCTAAGTCAAATAAAAATGTTTAACGGAAAGTCAAATTAAATTTTTATGAAGGTTTGAAGTTCAAGTTTTTACAACATTTGATAGGTTTTCACTCGATTTCTCAGAAAGCAATTTTCTTATTTTGTTGTAATTCAAAAACGAATAACCTTAGATACTTGAAACTTACACTATTTGTTTATTTTATCATTTTCTATACTTCATAAAATTTTCAAAATTGTTTGACCTGTTATTCTTTTTTTCTATAAAATATGTTTAAAATTGTATTTGTTGGTTTGAAAAGATTGAAAATGTAATACAAGATCCTTTACACATTGTTACAATATCAGTTCAAAAATTTTTGAAATACATAGACAGGTTTATAAGGGCATGCTCATTTAAAGTTCAAATTTGGACGAAATCACATATTTAAACCATGAATAACGATTTAAGTTGTAATTTAAAAATATTATTTGTGGGTAGGTACCTATGTACTTGAAACTTTTATAGAATATTATTTTATTTTATACACACAATGAAATTTTTAAATGTAATTTTTTCGGCAAAAATGATTTTAGCCTACTAGCTGTAGTTGATAATAATGCCTAATAGTAAAATAAATTCTTCAATCACAATAATATAAAATATACTTACCTACGTATACAGTTATACTTATAGTAATATTATAGACTGACAGTCGCTAGGAATCGTTTTTCGTACTTATACAATGGTTTCAATGATTTTATGTCATATTGTCATAGAATTCGAATTTAACAAATCCATTACAGTAGGTATATAACTCTTGACAGTCTAGACTTCAATGGCTAATGTACAGCACTACAGCAGAGCGTTACCCGCTTTCCTGCTTTTTTCGAAATTAATTATGTTGAAAATCATATTTTTTTTTTTTTGGAAATAGAACAAGTCTATAATCCTATGTTGCACGTGTGTTAGACAAAGACAGAAAATCGCCGCTTCCAATCCCCTTAAGGCCAAAACGCAGAGCCACACACGAGTCGGTGGTTATAAAATATTCTTATCCCCTACCATAAAACATTTGTTATAATTACTCCACTGATTCAACTATATACATTTAAATATATAATTTCTGTACCACAGAAGTAAACTAACGCAAGTCTATTTTTGGAAATTTTGAGTTAGTTATATAATCAGAATATGCTTTTTGTGATATTTTTAAAGGTATCAAAACGTAAGTCCTATATAAAATAAATGCATAGATAGCAAGAAGTATACTAACGTAAGTCCTAAACTATGATAGGAGTATAGAAACGTATGTCCAGCGTTTACATAAGAAAATTATATATATAGATAATACATAATAATATTTTTGAAGTACCTATACAATGGTAAGTCCATTGCAACAAATATTTTGTTTTGTCTCTCCTGTAAAATTTGCTTTTTGTGACTTGTGATATACTTGAATACCTGTGGTTCAAGCACCATGATTCAAAAATTGTTTTGTTGAACTTTGTTTCAGCTTTAAGCCCCCAAGTAAACTAACTTCTGTGGTACAGATTTGTCTGTTAATGTTATGGTGAATTTTTTATGTTTTATTGTTATGATAAACTAGAAACTTTGATTTATTTCGAAATTCCCAATGTCGCGTCTTCCTAATATACCAGTCCTACCTATAGATAATCTAGTAATACGCTCAAAAACATGCGTTTGTACTTCGCATTTCTCGTTAGTCTGCGTGTCATACTTTCAAATTTAAATTTTTAAAATAGACATTAAAAAAAAGATATCAGAAATCTGACTCAAAATAATTTGCAAATGTTCGTAATTTTGTCAAAATTATTCTTCAGATAACTCATAAAAAGATGTGGGTTTACGCTCAACATTCTTTTA